AGGCTCAGGCTAGGGTTTAAATGATAAAATCATCGGCACACAATATCTCATAAATTTATCACAAATTTGGCTTGTTATGCCCAGAACTCTAGGAAATCTCCAAAAATATGGTTTGCGCCTCATTTCTCATTAAGATTTTTATTTCCTTCCCCACTTCAAACAGTGTAAAAGGAAAACATACTTCCACTATGTGAGGGCTAGTATACTTTTACTGTAAGAAATCAGAATTAAAAGACACAGGCAACAAAATTGAGAGCAGTGATGCTTACTCAGGAGAAGACCAACTACTGAAATGAGCTCCCAGAAGCCCTTGGCTAAGGAGAACTAGTAATAGCAGTAGTAGTAATAGCAGCGGCAGCAGTAGTAGCAGCAGCAGCAGTAGTAGCAGTAACAATAGTAGTAGCAGTAGCAATAGCAACAGTAGTAGTAGTAGTAGTAGTAGTAGTAGTAGCAGTAATAATATTTATTCCCTCTCCTCAATATCAGTCACAAGAATATTGGAACATACTGTCTCACTACACTGCAAACAGCTTGTTGGGTAGTTCATCAAAAGATTCAGTCAGAAACTACATTCTCCCAGGAACGTCTTCTCTGTGGGAGGGATGACCACTTGCCATCCCCTACCCCTAGAATTTCTGCTCAGCACCTAGCCACAGCCTCTATCTCCTTCCCCAGCTTCGCTCGGCAGGTATAGCCTCTGACCTTACATATTCAACATATATTACCCAGCAATCTGTCCTCTTCTCTCTCATCTCTGAAACCTGTCAATTGTCTGTCTTTTTAAAAGTCCAGTTCAGTATAAAAATTAATGAATATCCTATCACTTTATATCTGTCAGCTATCTATCACTTTATGTCTATCTACCAACTCCCAATTTCTAGATACCTACAGTAGAAAGGCCTGGATGGAAAACAAGGGATTACGAAAGAAAAATATGCCTGCAGACAAAGGACCTAAAGAAATATCCGTGTAAATGGAATTCCTAGTATGTCAAGCTCAATGAATTTAGAAGAAGTTTTTCTTCCTAGAGGAGGGATGGAAGAAATCGTTACTTCCTGAAACTGCTGAACACCAAGACCACTCAGGAACCAAGCCCTTCAAATCAGGCACCAAATGAAGAATCACTCGTATTGGATTCCATTCCTTCTCTGTCTTCAAAATACCAACGTCCATGATGCCTGCCATTCCTAGAGCAAGAAGCAGTGACTTCTGATACCCCATCATGGCGGAGGAGCCAGTTGAATATCATCTCTAGGAGATCTTTCCACATCTGTGATTCAGGGCAGTGGATCAGGGGAACTAACATGGCTAGAAAGTGCAGTCTGGAGGGTCACGCCCAAGACGAACCAGGACATAAGGGGAGTGCTCGTGAGATATAACGCAAAGAGCCCAGGCCTGGGGAGTCAGGAGCCCTGGGTTCCAATTCCCACCCCACTTACTAGCTTTGTGATTATGATCTAAACTCCAGAGGAGGCTCCCTGCTATGTCCAGGATCGAGTCTAAAATCCTCTGTTCCATTAAAGCCCCTCACAACTTGGCCCCTTCTGTCCTTCTAGCCTTCTTGTACTTGACTATTCCCTACCCCTTCCCTCCACAATCCAGCCCCACTGGCCTACTGCTGCTCCTCAAATGAATGTCTCCATGCATGTGACTGGTTGTCCCCATCCCTGGAATGCCCCCTCGTTGCTTCTGATTCCTAACTTCTCTTTCTTCAAGACTCAGCTCATGACCCACCCTCTGCAGAAGGCCTTCCCCAGTTCTCCATGCTGCTAGCCCCTTCTCTAAGATTGCCCTCCATTTACATTGTATATATCCTGTGTGTCTGAAAAAATGAGAGTTGGACTAGACCTCCAAAGTCCCTTCCAGCCCTAAAGTAATGATGATGTTATCAAATATCCGCGAGAGGATCTTCTTCTAAGAGGGGCCAGTGACCCACCTTCGCAGGCTGGAACAGTGAGGGCCAGGAAGCTGAGGCCGGCTGTGTCCATGTAGATCCCCAGGTGACTGAATCGGGAGTGCTTGCTTAGCTCGTGGTCTCAGAGCTAAACCGAGGACCCAGCAGCAGCCACATTCCCTGGCCTGTTTCTAATCAGTCTCCTCTGACTTGGCACCTCCTGCCTCACCCGCTAGTCTAAGGAATCTCTGGGTCTCCCAGGTGCTTTTGCTACATGTGTCTGAAAAGTGTGAACCAGCTTGTTTTAATCTGCTCCTTCCCTATCAAGCAAATGCAAATTTGAGTGGAACCAGGTTGTTGTTTTTTTTTTTCTATG